GGGCATAAGGGGAAGTTCTGTACCTTCCTCTCAATTTTGCTGTGAACCCAAAACTGCTCTTAAAAATAAAAATGAAAAAAAAAGACAGCATTAAAAATGATTACAGAGCATGTATTCACTCAGCACGTGCATTTGTGTAAAATTTTAAAAATACTATATTTGAGAGCAAAAATAAAACATAAAAAGTGCCTGAGAATCAATCTAACAAAATATTTGCAGGTATGTTATGGAAAAAAATGATAAAACTTTATTTAAGCATTTTACAGAAAATCTAAATAAATGGATTCTATCATGTTAATGGATAGAAAGATTCAACATGATAAAGATATATGTTCTCCTACATTTATATATAGATTCCAGGCAATTCCAATAAAAATTCTAATAGGATTTTTGAGAAACCTGACAAGCAAATTCTAAAATTAATATGGGAGGGCAAAGGCCCAAATCATCCAAATACTCCTGAAGAATTAAAATGTGTGTCTGGAGATGATCGAAGGTGCAGTTTCCCCATCAAAACTCAACACTCATTAAAAGGTACTTAAGTATGGCATTGATGCAGGGATAGACTAAGCAGTATAACAGTATAAAAAATCCATAAACAGACCATTGCATTATAGAAATTTTATTTATTATAGAGCTGTCATTGAAGATTGGGGGGGTGAAGAAATATTCAGTAAATGATGCTGTGACATTTGGTTATCCATATGGAAAAACAAATTATATTTCTACCTTATAAAATACAGAGAAAGCAATTGTAGGTGATAAAGACTTAGATGTGAAAAGTAAAGCTATAGAACTTTTAGAAGAAGGTATAGGAGAAGATGTTTAAGACTATGTGTTGGGAAATGATTTCTCAAACAAGACACAGAAAGTAGAAACTATAAAGGAAAAAGTTAAGTTAATTACACTAAAATTAAGATCTTCTCTTTATCAAAAGCATCATAAAGAAAGTGAAACTACAAGCCATAAACCGGGGTAAGATATTTGCATCACATTAATTCATAAAAAACTATCACCAAGAATATATAAGCACTTCTAAAATCAATATGAAAAGAAGCAATATTCAATGAAAAATGAGGAAAAGATACATGTAAGGATTTTTATTTAAGAGGGAACATGAAAGTCCCATAAACATAAGAAAAAATGAGGAAAATCATTTGTAATCAAGAAATGCAAACTCAAACCTAAAAGATATGTCATTTTTCACCTACCAGAATGAGAGTTTAAAAATCTGAAATACAAATCTTTTGAGGATGTGTAGTAAGGAAAACTCTTACACTGCTGGTACGAGCACAACTTTTTACAACCATCTAGGAAAATATTTTGGTGTTACTTAGTTAAATGTGTGCATTTCTAGATATATAGTCTAGTCTAGAGAAAGTCTTGCATGGGTGCATCAGGAAAGTTGTACAAGATTGTATTAGCTACAAAAAACTGGAAACAACCCAAATGTTCATTGACAAGAAAAGCTCAAATATCCATAGAATGGGAAAATAGATAGCTATTATAGATTGTAGCATATTCATATAATGGAATAAATTATAGTGGTGAAAAGAAATGAACTATAGCTTCATGCACCAACTTGGATAAACTCACGTACATAAAGTATAAAAAGCCAACCACAGGGAAGAACATGTACAGTATGATTCATTTATATAAAGTTCACAAAGTATGCAAAACTAAATGATCTAGTTGAGTGATACACACATATGTGGTAACACTAGAAGAAGTGTTAAGTGCTTCTTTCTTTAGGACGGTGGTTCCCTCCGGGGGCCGGAGATTGGGAGGAGAATGGAATCACGGGAGATTGGTAATGTTCCAGTTTTTAGACTGGGCTATGGGTTCATGGGTGCTTGGATCATTGTTAGTATTTATACCTATTGCATATTTAGAAATATTCTTGTAAATGGTTTTATGTTTAATAAAAACAATACATAAAATAGAATACTTTTGTAGTAACAGGCTAGTTATGTCTGGACCACAGAAGGAGAGGTGACAAATTCAAAAGAAGCTCATATCAGAGACTTTTGCTTTTCACTAAAAAAAAAAAAAGATGAGTAAGTATGTTTTTTGCACATTGTTCAGTCTAACAAAATGTTTTAGGTCATTCCAAAGCCCATTGCAGGCAGACTTTTACATCATGTGAGTTTCAGAAAGAAGGTAAACCATTTTGTAAATAAGCTTATGCGATGTTAAGTAGGTATACACAAATGTTAACCAGCTTTAAGAGGCTGAAGTCATAAAATGTGTTTGTTTTTTATCACAAAAAGTTTTAGGGAAATGAGAACTATATTACACTTGTACAGAAGCAGAAAAATATTTTTTTAAGAGCAAATTTGAGCTCTTTTCAGCTTCTCTTTTGACTTGACTCTCAGATTTTTATTTAAGCACTTAGAACTATTATACTATTCCTTCCCTTTAAATGTCTCTTGATTTCTTACATTCTCTGTTTCACTGAGCTTTGCCAGTATATAATTTTTTATGTTCATTATTTCTTGTCTGTGTTTTCTATTGAGTTTCAGTTTTTAATTAGATTATATTCCTAAGAGCTTTGTACCAGAGATTTATTCATCACTTATGAAAATTTTCTCTCTCTCAACTTTACTACAGTATTTTGCAAACATAAAAACAGTCTTCTTTTTACAAACAGATCCAGTAATATTTTCTAATAAATTATATTTTTCCTTAAAAATCTGAATGTCAGTGGTGTTTCTGTTATGATATCTGCTTTTTGAGAGACTGAAGAACAGACACAACAATTATATGTTTCTATTTACCATTCCCCTTATTTCCTGCATTTATAGATTGGTATTTTGTTTTGTCTGTTTTAATTGTCTGCTTTAATCAGTATTAATTGATGCTGAAAAACTATCTAGTAATTAAGGTCAAAATTTGCTATTCTCTATTTGTTTTTTGATAAAATGAATACAGTAGTCCTCCCTTGGATATGTTCCAAGACCCCCAGCGGATGCCTGAAACCACTGATAAACTAACCCTATGCACGCTGTGTACATACATAACTATGATAAAGTTTAATTTATAAATGTAGCACAGCAAGAGGTCAACAATAACTAATAATAAAATAGAAGAATCATCACAATACACCAGCATCACTACTCTTGTATTTTGGGGCCATTATTAAGTAAAATAAGGGTGACTTGAATGCAACCACTGCAATACCGCAACGGTCGATCAGACAATCCAGAGGGCTGTTAAGTTCCATCTACAGCGTGGATATGCTGGACAGAGGGATGATTCCTGTCCTGGGCAGGACAAGATTTCACCATGCTACTCAGAACAGTGTGCAATTTAAAACTTATGAATTGTTTATTTCTGGAATTTTCCATTTAACATTTTTGGATTACAGTTGACCTTGAAAGGAGATTCACCTGGAGGGCTTCTTAAAATACAGCTCGTTGACCCCATCCTAGAGTTTCTGATTTAGTAGTTCTGGGTGGGCGTAGAGAATCTGTATTTCTAACAGGTTCCCAGGGGATCCTAATGCCAGGGACCATGCTGAGAACCACTGCTCTGGTTTAAATTCTGTAAGAAAGAGTAATCTTTTTATGTAATGGTACTTCTCTCTTTGGCTTGGGAGTACTGTATATATCCAGCAGTGAGCCATTTAGACCCCTCTCTGTTTGGAACCCACAGAGACCACCTCTGTAGTCCACTGCAGGTCCCCATCTTCTGGTCATTTCACTCATGGCCTTCATGCTGTGTTGATTTCATCTGCACTGCAAAGACTAATTTTACATAACCACTCGTGAGCTGGCTTTACGGTATGTTAAGGATGTGTTCTTCTGGTTTATAGGTAAGCCATGGAGCCAAGAAACCATGTGGAGGTCTATCCTACAACCACAGCTAGACCGAGTAAGAGGACACCAGCGTTGGATCAGGGCAGGAGCTACCAGTCTCTGGAGTCAGTCTTGCCTGGGTTTATATTCCAACTTGGATATCTCCCACTTGTCAAAGGAATTATGAGGGGAGGGAGAAACACAGAGACAATTTTCATTCTTTCTACTTTTGTACCATGGATAATTCCTTGACTTGGAAATGAGAACCACAGAAATGCAGACTTGGGGGTAGAAATAATAGATTCAATTTCCCAGGAACAATCGGTTAGTGAGGCTCAGCACAAGTATCTGAGGTTCCAGAACCCAAAAGCCATAGTTTTTCTGTATTAATTTAAAGAACAAGGAGGGAGGGCAAGAATAAATTCTAGATTTTATTTATGATAATAACTAACCTTTATTATGTGCTTACTAGTTGCCATTTTATGAGGGGGGGAGAGACTGTCTATTATTCTATTAATATATTGTTACCAAGTTTTGTTTTGTACCTTTAAATGAAGAATCAGTTATCCATCAATGAGTTGCCTCAAAGTCATTATTGGAAGTTTATAATAACTACAAAATCCACCCTAAACTTATACTCTAATTGGAAAATTTCTAACTGCTATCGTTTTTAAGGACAACCTGAATCTAAGAAGCCTAATCTTTTCTCCTAATGCTTCTGTCTTCTCAATATCAAAGCTGAAAGACAAGTCAACACGAAAGAAGTATTTCCAAAAAAAACGCAAAACCACTGACTAATAAACATGGTAAGAAAAGCATAAAACTAAAAATAAATCTCAAAAGATTAAACCTCAATGAAAACAGGATCATCAAACCACTGAAAGAATTACGGAGCAATAATGTCTCCATTTCAAGCTATTTCTTAGATTTCTTTGCTCTGTTCATTTTCTTTAGTTTGCTCTTTAGAAAAAATAACACTATATTGAGGTTTTTCAGTTGGAAGTTTATAAGCAGAAAAATGAGAGATACTATAATTCTTACATAGCATTTGGCCAAACCTTTAAACAACTGGATCACGAAAGGAAGAAGGCAAAACCTGTGTCAAGTCCGTTTGTTTGACAGTATGCTTCAGCACTCCTCTAAAGCCACAACGGGTTTTTCTGTCAGAATCAAGCAATTCTATAAAAAAGAGACCGTTCTTACCCTCATCCTTCCATTCCTTATTGCTGGCCCATCTTCTGCCAATCTCAACACGTACAAATCCATTTTGTATTCCCTTCCTCCGCGGATGCTGAATCCAAATCCTTTGGCTCCTTTCTCCATGTCCACAGTGAAATAATCGAAGTCCTTTGGGGTTGGGGAGAAAATGGAATAAACAATTGCTTAATATCAGAGAAACTTCTGCAGCCAGTCTCTCTGTTCTCCTCTCTTACAGTTAATATATTCCAAATGACGTTATAAGAAGTAATCTGATTTCATAAATTATTAGATGCAAGACAAAATTCCAAAGGTTTGAGCAGATCAGAACACAGTTTACTTGGTCATCAAAAGAACTACTGTGTAGTTTGTTTACTTTGGTATTCATTAGTTTACTTGGAAAACATGCAAATTATTGCATATAGGCCTGACATTGTCTCCTTTGAGTTTTCTCATTCACTGCTGTTGAGCACTGGAAATAAATGTACCAGTTGTGTGTGTACCATAAATCACGGAGTTTGCTGGATTAGAAAAGCAAAATTTAGTTAGATCTGACTATACCTCTTGGTTGTACAGACTACTGAATATCAAGATGAATTATACAAAATTACTCTTTTACCTAAAATGCAATATGTCCAAGATTTCTTGATCTTTACTGTTCTTAAAATCTTTGGGGATGAAGATGATCTTTGATTCATAATGAAACAGAATGTAATCTGATAGAAGTTAAATTGTCCTTAATTTATATCTTGGTATCTGGTTACCAGGCGGTAAATATTTACTAGATACCAAGCTCTGGTCTAGACACTTTTTATAAATGTTGAATTCTCACCATGGCCTGTAAGGAACACCCTCCCCTTAGCAAACTGAAGCTCAGAGAGCTTAAGAAAGTTGCCATGAGATGCATCCAACATCAACAAACAATCACAACTTCTTCACTTGTTGCATAGACAGGGAGTTGGTGGTTGTTGCAGAGGCTACACTCTGGATTATGAAGCCAGGCTTGGTCTTATATTTATACATAGGGGCTTGGCCCTTTATCACAGAGTGGGAGTAAGGGGCCGTGTAAAAAATTACGGACCTAAAATACCTCCACTGTTGGCATCTGTAAAATTTTCTGCATTAGCAGCACTCTCTGAGGTCCTAGATAAGAGAGTGTTTAAATCCTTGACAAGGAAATGTACTGGAGTTACCTAGCTAATATTAGCAGGGACAAATTCATCCCATTACCACTCACCCACTGTCTGTCTATCTATCTATTTAATATCCTGCTTTATTGTGAAATAGATTTATTTATCCAGCACGTTTTGAGGGTGCAGGTGGTAGCCGGATGATATCAGAACTAGGAGTAGAACTTTGGCTCTCTGTGCCAGAAGGGCTCTCTTCCCTCTGCCTCCCCTTCTGTTTCTTTCCTTGTTCTTCAGGAAGTCTTGGCCAGGGGCGGCCACGGCCTTCGGGCAGAGGTACCTGGGGCTGCCTGTAGTCTGACAGCGGGTACTGCCTGGTGTCGGGGGAGTGCTGCCTGTAGTCCAGCAGGGGAGGCTGCCTGTAGTCCAAGGGTGGGGGCTGCTGGTAATCCCCTCCTGGGGGCTGCCTGTAGTCCAGTGGGGGTTGCCTGTAGTCCGTGAACGGAGGCTGTCGGATGTCTGGTTTCACATCTTGTCTTGCTTTTACTTCCGACCTGTAACTAAATAAATGGAAATGGGATTTGCGTTGGTAGCTCAGCATTCTGAGGAGACTAGAATGAACACATGGCCTCCAGGCATGGTGCAGCTACAGCAGCTTGTACGAGCCACTCCTCTTGGTGGTCCTTTTATGTGTTCAGGATTATGAAAAGATTAAATGAATAAGTATTATTTAAGAATCTTTGACAAATGCCATAGTATACTTTTCATTTGACTTCTTAGGAAATCAAGGTAAAAATGATGGTTCAACCCGAACTTTGTGAAAAAGGACACATGGATATCCCTCTTTGACTATGGCTATTTAGAAACTGTACAACCACAATAAATATAAGGGTTTAAACACTTAACTATACATCCCAAAATATTAGCTATCAGTCTGTCTTAACACCAGTAAACCAACTCTCTCTCTCTCTCTCTCTCACACACACAGACACACACACACAATCCTTGGCAAAACAGTCATTACTTCATAAAAAAATGATTGAAGTGATCTCTAAATACTTGACAAATACATAATTAAAAGCTATTTTAACCTGCTAAGTTGGGTCTTTTTGAATATTTGACAGAGGTTAAAGGAGTGATAGTAAGGTAATCACCAACTACAAATCAAGTAGAAAGTTATTGGATCATTGGTAGAATTAGAAATATACTACACAGAGGTTTAAATACTAAACCATAGCTGTCAGGATTAGTGTCAAATATAATACTACTGTGGTCATAAGATGGAAGGGAAGGCAGAAATGTTTATGTCCAATATTTGTCTGTTGCTTGTTTCTAGGTATTAGTTACTAATAAAATAGACTAATAACAGAGACCAGAACTAGGAGTTTAGTATTGTTTTGTGAATCCAAATTGCTCTAAGCTGAGGGAGTTCCTAGCTCCAAAAGGGGACTAAAATAGCCAATACCTACCATTATGGGATCATTAATAAGGTAAACTGAAAAATTATCACCACGGTGTAGAGGCCACTTAATTCTGTTGTTCATTGCCTATTGCCATGGCAACAGTCTACAATGAGCTAGCTACCCAGGGATGTAGGTAGAATGAAAAAAATACATTCTACATAATGGCAATTTTATCTAAAATTAATATGGAGGGTATGAAGAATTTCAAATATTTAGCACCAAGGAAAAGCTCAAGTGTGTCAGGAAATCAGGTTTAAAATCAGTAGAATTTTTACCTTTAAGATTAGAGGGTTTCTTTACTGGCTTATGGTCTCATTGATGCTGATTAGTATTACATATTTTTAAAAATCACTCACCTGAACAATTGCCATTAGTGTCATCTAATATTTGTTGAGAACACACTGAAAGTGCACAGCCAATAGATGTGTTTATGTGGAGCTCTTAGAAGGGGGTTAGTAATGTAGTTATTTTAATCAACCCTTTGAGTAGGTCCCATTTGTCACCTAACCCTGTAGAGGGGACATTCCTTTTGTGAGCTGCATAATTTAGGCTTTGCTTTATACCTTACTTGTCCACTAACCTACTGAGAGTATGCATGCTGATAATAGAATTATTTAAAATATGCTTTGAATAAGATGCTGAACTATGCAAATGCATACATTAAACAGAAGGAATCAAACTGGGTGACATTTGTCATGTGTGTTGGTTCCCTTCTATAAATAGCCTGCTTGGTGGTTTAGGTGTCACACTGTTTTAAGTTATAATATAGTCACTTTATTCTCATGACCTGTGTGGTATTGGTACGCAATATCCATTATGTGCTCTGTTTCCAACCAGATGTGTCACAAGGTATAGCAAAAAAGTGAAATGTAAGAATCTCCCCAAAGGTTACACAAATGACTAAAAATAGGAGTTTGCAATGGCTGTCAGCCAGGCTACCAGGCACTCAAACTACCTGCCACACCAGTGTCATGTGTCAGGATTTTAAATTGAACTGCACATCGAAGAGTTCTTTAATAAGGGAAACATACTTAATTTTTTATGAATGTTGCTAACTTTTAAGTGAATGATACACTGGGCTAGGTCAAAAATAATGTTGCTTTAAATCTGTGAAACACTTTATTTATTTTAAGGAAAACTCAGGATTATTAAACCAAAACCAGGCTCTTTCAAGTTCCTTTACTTATGAAAGAAGATCATTATAATCCTTCATAGCTATGAATTCCTTTATTTATTTTTGAGGAGAAGGAAAGAGAAGTTTATTAATTTGCTGGCAAAGGAGGAGGATGGAGACTGCTATCTGAAAAATGCCATGGTCCTAATAATATGCAGAAATGCAGAGGTTTTAAAGGGTGGGTTCTCAGCTTCAGGCAGTTGCTGTTCTACTGCAGTTGATGATCCTGATCGTCCCATCTCTGTCCCATCTCGCTGAAGACAATCCCGTGAATTCCATTATTAAAGAGACTTTTGAGATGAGAACACAAGATTGCCAGAGGTAAATTCTAGCAGGTTTTATGGTATAAAAGAGTCCCAGAACAATGAAATGCTGCTCATGGCAAGATTTCACATCATGTGGGCCCTTCAAGAATCACTTCCAGTCTTGAGAATCTGTGGTTCAAAGTCTGTGGAAGAAGTCACTTTCTAAGATTCCTCCACTGACCTCGCTATTTTAAATTGCAGTCAAATACCAATTGCCCTTGCTGGGAAGGTGAGCTCTGCTATTCATACTTAGTTTTGAAATATATTCCGTAATGGCTCTTATGTTGTTTTCAACAAATGCTTCTCCCTGAATAGCGTTTTACTTATGTTTATATTAAAATTATTTTGTGTTTCCTGAGCATTCACCAAAAGTATGTTAAAGGACAGAGAAGTGGGTAGAAGTGTACAGACTGCCATGGGAAGCCAATCCAAGAGTAAATAAGATAGGATAAAATATCACTCATTCTAACTCACAAAATGGAAATTTGCAAGCTGATTGTCATTTCATTTTATCCCACTCTAACATGGGAACTGGCTCAATTTGCCATGTAGGTGGGCATTCCTTGTACAAATGAAGAAAGAGGAAATTCGTACTGTGCATATAAACCTGGCACATAAACTGTCTTGGAGACATCTCTAGCCTGATCTAGAAAAAGGCAAAAAGTTTTCCCTCTGATACCAAGGCCATCTTTAAACACAGCTAGGAAAATGTTTCTGGTATCCGTAAGATTACTGAATCTCTTCATTCATATGCAAATGAGCCACCATGAACAGTCAAAGAGTTAAGCCAGGAAACCTGAGTGCCAGTAAAGGGCCCTAGAATTGGAGTGGACACTTGCTGGGCTGAAGCAAAATAGCTAACAACTCTGGGCCAATATGTTGGTGATTTATAAAAATTTGGATCAGGTCAACCTTTAATCCCAGAGTTAGGAATATTTTATTCTGTTCAGGAAAAAAATATTCAAAGGTCATTGCTTCTGTGATAGGGGCCAATGTGTCCCAGTTGAGCTCGTAGCAGATGGGATACGATAGTGGCCTTACCCAACTGATCTTCTCCCTACAGAACTACAGCACACCAGGGATGAGATTACCCACCCACAGCTAGAAGCAAGAGCTGTGTCCAGGGGAATCCAACTCTGGAAAGAAAAAGATGGAGTGTGGCTAAGAGATTAATTTACAGTGGCAAAGCGAAGATGAAGAGTCTAAAGCGGGCTGAGGACGTCTGGAGCACTCACATCCTTCCTCCTGAGTCTACAGTGAATCCTGGGGAAAGCCAGTGCAATATGTTGAGTAATCCACGGTGAGTGCCAGCACATCTGGGGCTTGTTACTGAGGCACCCAGGACTTACTCTTCTTACAGGTTGTCAAATTTCTACCTCTGCATCATTTGCTTTATACAGCTTTTCTCTTTCCCAGCATATATTAAAAACATAAACAGCTGAAGGCAACCAGACATTTACTTTTCTATGAAAGCAAATGGGGAAATCAGAGCAGAATGGGGCTTTATAGAAATACCACCTGTGGCACAGGGAAAATATTTGCTTTGCAACAAGGTGAATGATGAACCCAGAGAGTTCTGGGAATCGAAAGCAGAGTCTCACTTCATCTTCACCAACACGGGAGGCAGGAGATGGGAAGCAGATGTTCAGAAAACATTAGAATCATAAAAAAGACCAGGGAGGGTTTTGTATTTGGAGATGTTTCCATAAGACGTTCTGTTTTTCTCCTACTGAAAGGGGGGAAACTACACAGGAACATCGTCATACTTTTCTTTACTGTCCCAGCCAAACCCAGGCTTCCCATTACACACAAGTCACAATAAGAAGACAATGTCATTTTTATATGACATCCTTTTTCTGGGAGTTCAAAGTGCCTCACTCAGTTTATGATGTCTATCTTTCACTTTATGTGTGGAATGGAAGTACCTCGTTAGATCATGGGTAGGAGGATGCCAGGTTATCACTCAACCTACTCAGTAAAAATACTAATGTTTATTAATGCTTACAACACCTTCAACATTTCCCTCTGTCCATGCCACCACCATTGTCTGAGCCACAGCCTTCATGCTTCAATGACTGTCTGCAGCCACGTCCTAGCTGCTTAACCTGCATTTTTCCTGCCAGCCTCTCTTTTGTGCTCTGCAGGGCAGACTGAACAGCAAATCCAATGATGTCACTCCTCAGCTTAAAACCCTTCAATGACTTCCCACTACACGTGAGATAAAGATCAAAATTTTTGGCACGCTTCCAAGGCTGTTAAGGTTGGCCCCTGCCACCCTCATCTCGAATCACGCTCCCCTCCCACTCTGTTGGCCTTATTTCCATCCTTCATGCTGGCGCGCTCCTCCTGCCAGGGGGCCTTCGTGTGTGTCCTTCACTCTGGACTCTCTCTAATGTGCTCTTCAGCTAGTTAACCCCTACTCATCTGCAATTGCTCATCTTACTTACTCAGGAAAGGTTCTCTTCTTGCAAACAACACACTTAGCTGTCTTGACTAATAAAGTCATATCTATAACACACACCCCACCTCAAAATCACACAAAGGTGCACACAGCACTTTCTACTTTATGAGAATCTCTCTCCCTGCCTGTGCCCTATGTTGACCCCAAAGGCTCCCCGCCACCCCCAGAATCACAAAAGCCAGAAGAAACTTTACCTATTTTCATGTCCTTGCAGCTGAAGTGGTTGAGGAGGAGCTGGTTGGGCGACAGGGCTGTTGGGGGTGGCTGGGCTGGGCTGGGCCAGAGGACTCTGCTGGGCCATGGGGCTCTGCTGCTGCGCCATGGGGCTCTGCTTCTCTGAGCTGGGTGCCGATGCTGGGCTGTTGAGCTCTGTGATGGGGAACCAGAGTGGCAAATGCCGGCAGGTTAGCATTTGATCAGGGGCAAGACGTGACCAGAATTGGTAACGCTTTGTCTCCTTAGATGACTCAAGGCTTTGGTTATTCCCATTTCTGTTAGGTTTTTAGATGGCAGTTTAAACTTATCAAGTGCCAATACCACCCCTGGAATTAGTATTCTTTCATTAATTATCATTGCCGAGCAAGGTTATGAACAAAGCATCTTGTCATTTTGTCAGAAGAAAAGATTACCAAGAAAACCCCTCTTAAAACTATGAAAAAATAATTCAGTGGAGTAAGTGCTAAAAACATATTCCATTTTCCCAGCACTGCTTGCTGAGAGAATATGTTTTAGTCTCTACTTTTTGGTTGAAATGAGAAGTTTGTTCTCCAGAAAGGAAAGAGAATACTGGACACAGGAAGATTCATAAAGCTGTTAAACTGCTTTTTGACTTTTTTTCTGATAACATCAAATTTTCAAGGACAGACACATTAAAGAACTGAGAAGCAGTCAGATTTTCAGTGAACAATCTTGCTTACAGGTAGTTTCCATTGAATAATTTATATATATTGTTGTCTGCAGATTACAGGTTAAAAAAAAAACATGGTCATTTTCTTCTTTCTCTCTCTCTTTTTGGTTGGGTGAAAAAAAGGGAGGTGATCTATTAGCATTCCCTTATAAATTCCTCTTCCCCTTTCTTTTCTCACAGCCCAAATCTTTTAATTTTTTCTCCATTTATTAATATATCAGGGCTCCTCGACCTTAGCATTGTTGACATTTTGGTCCAGATAATTCTTTGCTGTTGGGGATGAGGGGACTGTCCTGTGCGTTACAGGAGCATCCCTGGCCTCTATCCACTAGGTGCCAGCAGCATGTTCACTCCAATCATGACAACCAAAAGTGTCTCTGGACATTGCCAAATGTCCCCTGGAGGAACCATCCAAGTTGGGAACCACTGTTTTACATTCAAAGTCAGGTGGCAGTTTAGTCATTTGGTGGCTGCATGTCAGATAATCCTAAAATGGAATCAGGGGGCTGAGTAGAACAGAGGGTGCCAAGTTGAGTGAGCCCAGCAGCCTCTGTGTGGGACACTGTGGTCCACCTGCCAGCGAGCTCCAGGGACTGAATTCTTCAATATCATTAATGAGGCAGCAGCAATAAACTAGTAATGAACCATGTGTCTGGAAATGGTGAATTTATGGTGAATTGATACCCAGAACTCCATGGCCCCTTAGGCATGGTTATGAGTTGTGATTTTCACTACTCTTCAAGCCTCATGGGGGAGTCCTTGTACAGAAAAATTCAAAAGGAAGAATTCTCCAAAGATGAACTGTTAACAAAAATAAGTTGTTTTTTTTGTTTTGTTTTTTAATTTTGAGATTTGTAACCCTATCATCTCTGTTGAATGAGTTCTGGCTTCATATACCCCTGAGACCACAGGGAATGACTAAATAACCAAGCATCTCGAGATTCATACTCTTTGGCCTGTAATGACACACAGCTTGACCTATGAATGAAACTGGTAGTGAGTAAACAGAATATGGGTTGCAATTGAGTGTGAGTTTTTGCAACAGTGGACATAACAATCAACCTCTGACACCACACTGATGGCAGCCAGGTGGACTCTGTGACCCCAGCAGGCTGGCTGAGAACAGTTCAGTGAATGTGTCTGTGTGTTGACTGCCTCTCTGCGAGGCTGCTTCAGGCACTCACCCTCCTGAGGAATGATGCGAAGGGTGACACTAAGACCTGCGTCCTTGATGAGCTTCACGATGTCGGCGTGAGGCATGTTGATGATGGACTGGCCATTCACTGCTAAGATCCGGTCTCCCACTTTTAGTTTTGCACAGCGATCTGCAGGACTCCCCTCAATGATGCGTCCTATTTTATGGGGCACAGCTAAAACCCCCCCAACAGAAATAGGTATCAGGGACATGACCAGGATGTGTTCTTTCTTTCAGTTTCAGCACCAAAGGAAACATGCAATGTCAGAATTCCTTCTTTACTGAGGATATTACCCTTTTGAAATTGCAATCATTTCTATCAAAGAGGGTCCTGTGCACAGTATTGAGACCAGAGTTTCCTAAATTGAAGTACTTTGCAGTGATAGGTCAATTCCAAACACATAGGCCAAGGATTGTCAAACTTTGGGGTGCATAATAATTGACCTAGGATTAAAAATACAGCTATCCAGGCCTCACCCAGGACTGTCTGAATCAGAATGTCCAGGCAGGAGGTGAGGCCTGTGGATTTCCAAGAAGCTCCTGGGGAGATACCAATACATACCAGTGTTTGAGAACCACAGATGTAGAACTTTGTGCTCAAATAACTCATGCTCTAGAGACAATAATACACAGCTTCAGAAAGATACAATAAATGCCAGGAACTTAATTTCTACCCTTTTCTATTTTACTCAGAGGAGAAAACAGGGAAGAAAAGAAATCATGTATTAATACGGGTAGTAGCCACCTGGTGAGGAAGTTAGAACCAACCTCCCACTCAATTACTTAGCTTCAGATTCAAGGTTGATGTGTTGTCAAATCGTAACCCTTCTTTCTGATTTACTCTATTACATGGTGCTGAGATCTTGCTAATGTCTGATACGTAATGCATTTCATCGAATCTAAAATACCATTGATGGTAAGACACACCCCTATTTTATGTAACACAAGGAAGAAAAATAAAAAGTAACTCTGCCAATTAAACAACGATACTCCATTGACTAGAAGATTCTCTTCAATTGTTGAGATATTAATGTATAAAAAGCATTTTAGAATTGATGAAATATGTTTTATGTCTCTTTAAAACAATGAACATTTATTTCCTTTTTGTTATTTATTTATATGTGTGGGGAGAGCCAGATACGTGGGAATATAGATTTTCTTAGCAGGTTGACTTCTATTCAATATAAATATTTGAGTACCTATCAAGATGACTGTTTCTGGGCTCAAACATCAATGATACACAATGTCCCTCTAAGTTCCTCAAGGAGCTTACAATCTAGAAACCTGTTTCCCTTCCTTCCTCCTTTCAGCCCAGCCAGAAAATCACCTGTCAACGACTCTGTCTTGTTGCTCTCCCTATGGAATCAAGTACTGATTTAATCTGCACATAGAGGCAAAGACACGATCCATCATTCATCACGCTTCAGGGATGTCTATTCCTTAAACTCTCAATCTTGCACATGCAGAACATTAGCTAATAACTGCGTAAGGAAGGACAATTAGTGAGTTAATGAACCAGTACCATATTCATTCTTCTATTGTGAAAGGTTATAGACAGCATATGAAAGTATTGTCTGAGCCCGTGTCCCTGAAGTGAAACATATCATGTTGAAAGCTCAAACACATTTTTATTTACCATAAGTGCTAATAGCTTTAATTAAGAGCACCTTAAAGCATACTAATGATCATCTTAGAGTCTTTAGAACAATATAGTTCTCAAGTAGAAATGTAATACAAACTCATTAATTTGCTAATTTAAAAAATTGTGTAGGTATTGCAAGGAATTTGGTCTTCAACCATAATTAGGGTAAACTTTTGTTCTCGTTTTTGCCTCCTTTCATGTTCAACACTGTCTTGGAAGGGTCCATAAACGATTTGGTCTCCCTGGCCATAATGTGTATATTGTTATCTATCTTGTAACCTTTGAAAAGTTACCTAAACTATTTGAGTTTGTTTTTCAACAGTAAAACTGGGAGACTAATATCACTGACCTCAAAGAATGGTTCTGAGAATGAAATGAGTTATCATATGTAAAACTATGAGAACAGTGGCTGACATGTAAGAATTGATCTAAAAGCATTAAGTTTCATTCTCTTTAATACTATTATCTTTTAAATATTTCTGATATCACTGTGTGTGTGTGTATGTGTGCATGCTTGTATGTAGGTATCAACTTG